CTTATCTCTCCTCCTTCTTTCCTATCAAACATCTGTCGTCCTTATCTCTCCTCCTTCTTTTTTGTGTTTGTTACTTTCTTGTAACACCTCTAATCTTCGGCACTCGTATGACCTTATTCTATTGCAAGTGCCGTAAACTAAAAAGGATGTCAGAGTACGATCGGGCGTCTGTGCTGTAGCAGTTGGATGCGTCGCCGTCGTATGGAAAAGTAACGAGTTCGATTACCACTTTGTGAAAAAATGTTTACTGTCTGTCTGCTGGTATGTTTTTATCCATACCAGCCCGGGCTGGCCCTGACAGGCAGAAATGAAAACGCCCGCCTCTTAAATGAGCTACATCGTATCGAGGGCGGTGTAAAATATCATCATTTAAAATTATGTGTATGTGAAGGGTAAATTCAGATCACTCATTGCTTTGTTGTTGTTGTTGTTGTTGTTGTTGTTGTTGTTGTTGTTGTTGTTGTTGTTGTTGTTGTTGTTATTTGTTGTTGTTGTTGTTGTTTGGTTTTGTTTTTTGTCTTTTGTGGGAGGGGGTTGTGTGTTTTTTTTTTGGGGGGGAGGGGGGTTGTCCCTTGCCCATTTCTATGAATTTGTCGTCATCTGATAAGTAGAAAAAAGGTGCGCATGATAGTGCCCTATACTGTATTTCGTAGCCAACGAAATTATCGTAACATGTAAGCCTAATTTGTAATGATTTGTTAAGATTGTAATAGCTCACTCATTGTTGATATGAGTCCTTGTCCGCCAGCTTGCAAGCACCCAAAATACACTCTGTGCTGTGGCTTTAACGCCTATATCAGTCATTAAAATGTGGGACCACCGAAGTGAATTTCCATTTTCAATAAGAACAAGCCAAGCTCGGCAGGGAGCTTTGACTGCGATTGGTTAACTAATTGTCTTTAAAATGCTGAAATGTTAAAATATTAAAATTTAGTGTAAATATATTTGTGATTTAAAACAACTCTTTTAGGTAACAATAAACATTTTAAATAGTACGTTTTCATTTTTCATTTTACAACTTGCCATAAAGGCCAATGGCCTTTATAAAATTCCAAATTCTGCTGGGAACAACGACGGAAAAAATATCTTGCAATTTCTTGCATTTATAATATTTCCTTCGGATCTCTCCAAAGTCTAGACATTCTATTGTCCCGGATGTCTTCGAGATTTAGAGCACTCAACTTAAGCTATCCATTTTGACCAACTGGATGTCACGATATGGACGCACTAATTTCTCGGGACACGTTAAATTTGTCATATGTCTGAAAAACAGAATGTTTCCCTTTTGCTCACACAAATATTGAATAAAGATTTGGTAGCTTAGGTACATCGTTGTTTGATCGGAACCGGTAGCAAAGTGAATAAAATTGAAACAACCATAGTATTATTTGTTACTGCAGATCAGAACAAAGTTTACCCAGAAAGGCAAATTGTTGGAATAACATACATAATTTTCACAATATAAATTAGCGTGTATTCTCTTTTCGTTTGTTTCTAGTCCACGTACATTATTACAATGTATGTAGACTAGAAACAAACGCAAAATAATTGCTAATTTAAAATAAAAAAATGTAAAAAGGTATGTTATTCAAACAATTCAGCCTCTTCATGTGGTTTCGTGTGAGCCCGCAGGCCGCAGAGTCTCAGGTTGCATGGAGAGTTGGGCGTGGTCGAGGCGTGAACTTGTGACCCGGTTATGAGGTAAAGGAGGGGAAGGGAAGACATCATAATATGAACTTACATTTGTCAAAATAGTTTACATTTCAATATCTACAATACTTAGGTATCTAAAATAATATCTTTAATGTTCCAGTCTTTTATTATTCCACACTTTTCGTGTTCATTTTCTTTCTTTCTATTTTATTTTTTTATTTTACTTATTGATTTATTTCTTCTTATTGCTTTAAATGTATTTATTTATTTATCTATTTATTTATTTATA